TTTTTATTTACCTTTTTTTTTTCAAACCGTCTCTGTTCGCCATGACATTATCTCTCATTTCGTCTCGTTCTATCGTTACCAACAGTCTTCCCTCGTTTTCTTTCTCTTTTCTCTTTGTCTCATATATATATATATATATATATATATATATATATATATATATATATATTTTCCTTCCTCCTCGCCTTTACTTTTCCGTTTTGCTCCTTCCCCTCCACCCTCTCTCTCTCTCTCTCTCTCTCTCTCTTTCATAATTTCTCTTTTCGATATTTCTCGCTTATCGCATTACTTTTTCTTTCTTTCTGTTTCTTTTCTATTTTCTATTCTTCTTCTTTCTTTTTCTGTCTTTACGTCTTTCTTACATCAATATTCTTCTTTCATTTTTTTTATTCTTATTTTAGGTCTTTTTTTTTCATTTCATAAAATTTTCTTTCATTTTCCTTTTTCCTTTATTTTTTTCTTTCTTTTCCCCTCCTTCTTACGTTCTTTTATCTCTCTTCTCTTTATTCGCCCTTCATTCTATATTTTTACACTCTCTTCTAATTCTTTTTTCCCATTTCTTTTCATTTATTTCTTTTAAATTCTTCTTTATATTCAATTTGTTCTCTTTCTTTTTCTTTTTTTTTTTTTTTTACTTCTTGTTTCTTTTTCGTTACTCTATCTTTCTTTAAATTTAATTCTTTCTTTTAATTTATACAATACTTCCTCATTTTCATTCTTTTGTCTCTTTCTTTTCATTAATACTACCCTTTCTTCTATCTCTCCTTTTCTTTCTTTTTTCTTTCTTTCTTTTTTCTTTCTTTCTTTTAATTTGTACGAACATTACTTCTTTCCATCCTTTGTTTCTTCTATCTTTTTCCTTCCTTCTTTCTTTCTTTTAATTTATACCTTTCTTTCTTCCTTTCATTCTGTCTGTCTGTCTTTCTTTTTTTTTTCTTTCTTTCTTTCTTTCTTTCTTTATTTATTTATTTATTTCTTTAATAATTTCTTTCATTTCTTTCCTTCTTTCCTTGATTCTTATCTCTCCCTCGTTCCTTCTTTCTTTCTTTCTTTCTCTTTCTTTTAATTTATAACTTCTTTCCCTCCTTTCTTTCAATCTTCCTTTCTTTCTTTTACTTTATATTTTACTTCCTTCCTTTCTTTCTTCCTTCATTCATTCATTATCTTTCTCTCTTTTTTCTTTCTTTGAATTCCTTAATTTCTATCTTACATTTTCCATTTTTCCTTTAATTTATATCTTCTTTTTTTCTTTCTTTTTTCTTTCTTTCTTTCTTTTAATTTGTCCCTTTTTCTTTCAGTTTTTTTCTTAGTTTTTCCTTCCTGTCGCTTCCTCTTTCTTTTGTTGATTTTTCTTTTAAAACATCAACGCCCCCCCCGCGCTTAATTTCATACCACTTTACCTTCTGGTAAAGAACGTTGCTCCACGTGAAAAGACATCGCGCATTACATTCCCCATTTGTCCTTACTACATATCGAAAATCAGGTGTCTACCAACTTACATAAACTGTATACACACTTAACACTAGTAAAAGCTGACGTATTAGGATTGAACGCAACCACTCCCCTCAGCATGTGCCATTACTTATATTCAGGTGGGCATTATGTACCCTCAACACACACACACACATACATATATATATATATATATATATATATATATATATATATATATATATATATATATATATATATATATATATATTTGGTTGGATAGATGTGAGTTTGTGACCCTGGGTTTCACGCTTTAGCGATCGTGACATTTCCGCCACACTTCCAATGTTTAAATTTCAACATACAAATGTGTATGTATAGACATAACACCACCCGTATACATACAAATGTCATATCCGAAACTGCCCACATATGTTTATATATGTATGAGTCCCGACGGACGACTAAGTGTGTATATGTGTCCCACCACTTCCACAATAACACCAATACACGCAATCTACATAAACCCAAATTTTTAAAACATTAATCAGTTTGTCTGACGATCGCTAAAGCATGAAACCCAGGGTCACAAACTCACATCTATCCAACCAAATATGTTAGCTCTATCTCTGATATTGAGCGCTTTCTATAAGTACTGCGCATATAATATATAAATAATTATACATATATATATTTATTTATATTTATATACACTTTTCACACACATGCATATATATATATATATATATATATATATATATATATATATATATATATATATACATATATGTGTGTGTGTGTGTATGTATATATATATATATATATATATATATGTATATGTGTGTGTGTGTGTTTGTGTGTGGAAAAATATGAAAAACTGGAAAATTTCTCCTTGACGTTATCATATTTTTCTAAATACTATTTGTTGATGTATAAAATTATACAAAATTATATATCATTATATCATCTTCATATATACATATATATATATATATATATATATATATATATATATATATGTGTGTGTGTGTGTGTGTGTGTGTGTGTGCGTGTTTGTGTTTGTGTGTGT